TGAAAATATATACATAAAGCTAAATAAAGCTTATTTCTGTTTATATCTAAAACCTCACTACAAGTTTGGTTATCTTAATTATCCTAAACAATTTGTAATAATAGTTTCCAAGAATTTGAATCTTATATTACATTTTAAAAATGAGTGTTGCATAGGTATAATACCTTAAATAAGAGTAGAAACATATATGCAATATATTGTAACAAAAATAACTTTAGCTCTGTATCAATATACAAAAATCCATACCAATCTAAAGTATTTGAGACTAGTAGTTTCTTTTTAATTTAAAAGTAGATTCAGTAATCTACCCTATTATTCCTGAACTTGGCGTCTTAGACCGCTCGGCCGTCCTGACATTATGCTATTATTCCTGTATTCCCTCCTTTCTTACTTTTCATTCCCCACCCTCTTTCCCTCTAGAGTAGATAGGAAAAAAGAAAGAATACAATAAAGAGAAAGTAGGAAAGAGAGAGAGAGAGAGAGAGAGAGAGAGAAAGACAAGAAACAAAGAAAGGAAGATAGAAGAAAGGAAAGAAAGAAATCCTTTAACCTTCTTTGCTTAGTTTCCTCCCTGACCATGACCAGTAACAACTTGCAACCAATACCTTAAACAACGACAAACATCCATAACCCACCAAAGACCAAAAACCACCCATTCACCTCTCAAGAATGTGGGCATTATGTTCTTAAAATTGCTTCCTGTTGTTTAGGAGCAGTGACATCTTTAGGGGACCCTAAGAAAATTAGGATAATGGTCAAGTCTTGGGAGAGCAACTGTATTATTTGTCTTCTATTCTCTGTGTGACGGGAAAGTGCAGGGCTTAACTGAAGTCCTGGCTTGAGTAGTCTGTGAGGCTGGGTCATCTTAGCTAACTGCTTTGAAGTTGTCCCGGGTGCAGATTTTTGAGGAAATGGCAATAGAGGAATTCTAAGAGGCTGGATCACCTGGGCCATCTCATCTGTCTTGTCTTCATTGGTGTCTGGTCCTTTTGTTCTGAAAACATACGAACTTTTAAAGGTACCATATATATCTTCATCAATACAAATATGGAATGTGTAGTGTGCACACATCAACTAAAGATGGTTTTCTATTCTATGCTTGATCAGGCAAAAGGTATCTTCCAACTGTGTAAGTTCGTTTGAACTGTATACCAAACTGTCATGAGGACTCTGTAGCCAACAAAATTTATCATCTTATCCAACTCAGAGCTGTTCTCATGCAGAGGGATCAGAATATATGTCAGCTGTCTTGTTGTCTTCTTGGTTTCTTCCTTCATGTCTGCAGGAGGTCTCCCCTGGTCAAATCTTCATTAATTTTGAGGAAATCCATAGCTTTTCACTTCCTGTAGAAACAAAGTCATAATCTCTCCCCCAACACAACACATTTTCTGACTTCCATTCTGAAGTTAAGACATCCTTAAAATATATAGGCTGGATTAAATTTATATCAATAAAGCAAAATTCTAAATATATATATATATATAGGCTGGTTTAATTCAGCAGTTTTTCTATAATCTGATATCTTTTAGTAGCTGTTGTTTTAGCTTATTATCAATTAAAATTTAAAGTTAATAAAGAACTGTATAGGGCCCAATTTTTCTGTGTTATGGTATTTCTCATCCTTACATGATTTGTTCTTTTTATATTATTTTATTTTCCCTTTAAAGACTTTATTTTATTATTTTAAGCTATATTTTTCTATGACTGTCTATATTCACTTTCTTTTCTTTCATTAGCTAAATACATTTTAAAGCATACTGTACCTATTCAGAGGTTTTATGTCTGGACCTGGCTTTCTGCATACCTGCAGCCTTCTCTGCTGGTGTCTGGCTCAATCCAGCTAGGGTACATCCAACAGGCTACCCCCACTGGTTCTGGGTTGCAGCCACTGCTTGCCGTTCTGTGAGGGCCGAGCTTCATGCCTGTGGACACTGGCCAGGAGCCATGCCCACCTGTCCTGGAATGTTGCTGGGCCTGCAGGCTTTTCTCCCTAGTCTCCCACTGAGTAGCATGCCACTGAGAGCAGTGCTGGGCTGCTCAGCAGGGCCTCCCAAAGGAGCTGCTCCTCTGTAGGCCAGCATCAGCATCAGGCCTGGAAGCTACATCAGGCTCCATGTCTGAACTTTTCTCAGCTTTCTCTGGCCCTTTGCTTGGATATTTGTGTCTCCATGTTGGATGCCAAGTGTAGCAGTTCTCCCTTTGGACCGCCAACTCCTGAATAATGACATGAAGATTTCTTATTAAGTATGAAAGCTTGGCCTTATCTTAGGCTTGTTCCCAACTAGCTCTTAAAACTTAAATTAACCCATTTATATTAATCTGCATTCTGCCATGTGGCTCTCGTTACCTCTCCTCAATATCACACATCCACTTCCTCCGCATCTGGCTGAAGAATCTCCCATGACTCAGATTCTCTCCCTGGAAGTCCTACTTATCCTCTCTGCATGAGATCCTGCCTACAAGAGAAAAATAGACACATAACATTTGGCCAGGTCTTTTGTTCTTTAATGTGTGCAGGTGTTTTGCTTACATAATGTCTGTTTATCATATGTGTGCTTTTGTTCATGAAAGTCAGAATAGGGCATTGGATCCCTGGAACTGGAGTTACAGGAATTTGTTAGTTGCCACGTGGGTTGTGGGAACCAAACCCATGTCCTCTGTAAGAGCAGTAAGTACTCTTAACCGCTGAGCCACCTCTCCAACCCCTGATCAAATCCTTTTACTGCCAGCGACTCCCACCAGGGAGAGCTGGAATATAGGGGAGATGCAGCAGCAACCAGAAGAACAGAGGACAGTCCTTACATCTGTAGACTTTCCAGGGGAAACATCTGTGCAGAGCTCAGAGGGGTCGCCGAGCTTAGCAGGTTAGAAGGCTCTGAATGAATCTTTATAGCAAAGTTTAGGAATTGAATCATTTGCCACCCTCTGCTTTGGTACTGGGACATGCTAGGGATCTAGAAGCTTAAGGAAGGTACTAGAAGGATTATAAGACATGACTGGTGCACTCTACAGGGCAGCTTCTCTGAGCCATCTCCACACCACTTAAGAAAGCAGTTTAACATGCTTAAAATGGGGAGGATGACATTAAGTTTTTGTCTGTCTGTTTTAAGACAGGGTCTCACTATGTAGCCCTGGCTGGCCTAGAACTTGCTGTATAGATTAGGCCTCAAACTTAGAGAAAGCACCTGCCTCTTCCTGCCCAGTGCTTGGATTAAATGTATGTGCTACCGAGCCCAGCAATATTTTGCCTTTAAGTTTAGGCTTATAATTCATTTAGAGTTATTTTTTTCTATACACTATGAGGCGTGGATGAAGACTCACTTTTGTTCTGTTTTAATGGGTCTTTAATCTTCTAGTGCCATTTTTGTTGTTGTTTGAGACAGGAACTCACTATGTAGCCCTGGCTGTCTTGAACTCACAGAGGCCTGCCTGTCGGCCTCCCAAGTGCTGGGATTAAAGATATACCACCACGCCCAGCTCTATATTTATTTATATTTATGTATGCTTACCATATGGATGCAGTGCCTCTAGAGACCAGAAGAGGGCATCAGAATCCCTGGAACAAGAATAAGAACAGGAATGAGTGGCCCTGTGGATTTGGGAACCCAACCTGGGTCCTTTGAAAGAGCAGCAGGTGTCCTTAACCCCTAAGCCACCTCTACAGTCTTATTTTTAACACATATTTCCTGGTGCTTTATTGGATTTTAAGGTTTTTGTAAATTCAAAATCTACCTATATCTTCATATAAATAGAGAAACTTAATAACAAAGTCTATTTGGCAAAGTAATAAAAATAGCAAAGCCCAAAATTCCTTTTTTATGAAGGTATTGGGGATTTGGTATGTATATTTTTTCCTAGAATCCCTCCTGCTCCGCCCCCCACACACACTTCCTTCCTCTCTGACAGCCGTTGACTCTCAGTCGTGTTTTAGGTGCAGGCTGACAATGAACAAGCGGCAGAAGCGGAGTGAAGCGATCCATGTGTTTGATTTGTTTGTTCTGGTGTTTTCACCATGTTTAGTACTGTTTGGTCCCTGGATGGATGTTACCAGGATCATCTATATCATGTAGTAGAATATTTTAGTTTTTCCCCCCCAAAGACATATTTTTAGGGGTTGGCAACTTTCACCCTCCGTGGGTGAAAGCACTTACTGCCAAGTCTGACCACCTGACCGTAATCCTTGGTCCCCTGCTGTGGAAGGAGAGAACTGACTTCTAAAAGTCGCCCCACACTAAAATAAATGTAATACAATTTTTAAAAATCACACAGGAGGCTAGGTGTGGTGGCCTACATTTCTAATCTCAGCACTCAGAAGGCAGAGGCAGGCAGGTAGATCTCTGTGAGTTCAAGGCCAGTTTGGTCTACAACTTGTATTCTAGGCCAGATAGTCCCTGTCTTTAAAAAAAAAAAAGCATAGTACAGGATCAGCCCTTGCAGAAGGTCTTGTACTTGATAGGCTGAAGTACTTTGCCTCTGGGTTTTCTTCCATTTTTTTTTCTTCCCCACAAATCACATGAATATTCTTATTCCAAAACCTGAATGTAGGCAGTTGGCACTCCTGCTGGGTGTCTACTCTGCATCTCCTGGAATCTGGCCAGATTCTAGTCTGACCTCTTGATCTTTAGCAACAGTGCTGCCAGAGCGGGTATTCCTCTGCCAGATATCCCTGGAATGGATGGAAATGAGGTCCCCATGACGATGTCCATGCCCAAGTCACCTCTTGTCCTCATGGTGATCATAAGCCATGCTCTGCGGACATGGTGCTGGGCAAGGCTGATGGAGAAGCTGTGGCCTCCGGCAGCTTCAGCCTCCTGAGGCATTTTAAGTAGATGAAAGGAGAAATAGTTTGGATCAAAGACAAAAGGAGGAATAGTTTGGATCAAAGACAAAAGGAGGAATAGTTTGGATCAAAGACAAAAGGAGGAATAGTTTGGATCAAAGACAAAAGGAGGAATAGTTTGGATCAAATTGAATGTTCTAACCAGAGTCTCTGATTGCAGCATTGCCTCACTCCCAGAGTTCTCCAGCCGTCAGCAGCACCTGCACTAAAGTGCTCTATTTCACTGACCGGTCACTCACGCCCTTCATGGTCAATATACCAAAGAGGTGAGATGTTCAAGTCATTATTTCACTGTAAAGACAAGAAAGGAAGGAGAGAGGGAGGGAGGAAGGGAGGGAGGGAAGAAGAAAGGGAGGGAAGGAGGGAGGGAGAGAGGGAGGAAAGAAAGAGAGAGAGGGAGAGAGAGAGAGAGAGAGAGAGAGAGAAAGGGAATCCATTACTGCCAAATGAGCAGCTTTTGCAGAAAGAAAAGCCCAGGCCATTAGAGATTCTAGTTCTAATTTGTCAGGTTTGAGGGTGTTTTTTGTTTTTTGAGACAAAGTATTACTATGTAGCCTTGGCTGGCCTAGAACTCTCTGTATAGACCAGGCTGGCACCCAGATGATAGATTCTCCTGCCTCTGCCTCCCGAGTACTGGGATTAAAGGTGTGCACACTGCACCTGGAAACCAGTGGCATTATTAAGGACAAGCAGGATCTACTGATAGGCACAGGAATTAATAATCGTATGTTGTTTTGTTTAATTTGTTGAGACACGGTCTCACTTTGTGGCTCTGGCTGACCTGAACAAGACCTTGTCTTGAACTCACAGAGATCCACCTGCTTCTGCCTCCCAAGGGCCACCACACCTGGCCCCACGGGAACAGAAATTGTGCTTCTTGTCCCCATAGCTATACAAATATGCTCCAACGTTGTGAAAACTGTTTCTTTTAAGTATTCAAAACAGCTCCTTCTGGTAGCCATGACTTCAACCATGGCCTCTTGGGCATTTACTTGTCAGTGTTTATTACTGTGTGCTAATGATGATGGCAACTCCGGCCTGTAAGAATTTATGTGGAAAATGTTCCAGAACCTCAGTACAGTATACTATCTCCCAGTGAAATAAATACACCATAAGGGGCCTGGGAATGTACCTCAGTGCTAGTGTGCTTGTCTTGCAATGCGTAAGGCAGTAAACCCAAGAACCAACGGCTGAGAGAGGCTGAGGTTCTTAGAGTCTGCTCATATGGACTGGACTGGGCAGAAGCAAGCTTTCTCAACCCAGAGGAACTGCTGATCCTTAAGCTGGGTGGCACATACTTGTAATCTTAGAACCTGGGAGGCCTAAAACAGGGCTGTTAATTTGAAGTCACCTTAGGTGGCATAGCAAATTCAAGGCAAGTTTGGGCACAAAGTAAGACCCCGTCAAAACAAAAACAAACAAACAAACCCTACCTGCTGAATTTAACTTTATCATCCTAAGAAAACTGGACTATTATCTCATGGTAGAAACCCAGAAAACTTAAGTGTATTACATATGGTTAATCTACAAATTTTATTTTAAATACCTTATTTTCAGATTAAAAAAAGCAAAAGCAATGAATTCAAGCTTTCTGATCACCTGAGGTATGATGCCACAGTCATTCTTAGTGGTTGCCCAACCTCTGCTATTTTAGTGACATTGGTTATCAGGAGTCGTGACCTAGTATTAAAGCCATGCTATCTCTGCCTGTTGACTTTGGCAGGAGCCTGGATTAAAAGCTAACACATTGCCTTTCCAGCCTATTGATTAGCAGGCTATATTGATACACTCTTCTTTTGTTACAGGTTGGGGGAGGTGACACTGAAGGATTTTAAAGCAGCTATTGATCGAGAAGGGACTCACCGGTACCACTTCAAAGCACTGGATCCCGAGTTTGGCACCGTCAAAGAAGAGGTGAAGAATCCACGGGCAGTTGGGGGAGCATTACTGGTCACTCCTGAACTAGCTCTTCTCTCTATTGCTATGAAAAGACACCATGACCAGGGCAATTCTTACAAAAGAAAGCATTTAGCTGGGCCTTGCTTTTAGTTCAGAGGTTTAGTCCATTGTCATGGCAGGAAGCATGGTGGCATACAGGCATGCCTGGTGCTGGAGAAGTAGCTGAGAGGTCTACATCCAGATCTGCAGGCAGCAGGGAGAGAGAGACACTGGGCTTGGCTTGGACTTTTGAAAGCTCAGAGCCTACCCCCAGTGACATACTTCCTTCAACAAGGCCACACCTAGTCCAACAAGGCCACACCTAGTCCAACAAGGCCACACCTAGTCCAACAAGGCCACACCTAGTCCAACAAGGCCACACTTCCTAATCCCTCCCAAGTAGTGCCACTCCTGAATGACTAAGCATTCAAACACATGAGCCTATGGGGGCCATTCTTATTCCGACCACCACAGTTCCCCTCAAGGATCTCAGAAATTATGGGATGTTCAGTTGATGGATCAACTGCTTTAAGTTCCATAGAATGGACCCTGGTGTTGACAGCTTTGTTAGTTACAGGACTGAATATTTTATTTTTTGTGTATAAGTGTTTTGTTTTCATGTATGCCTGTGGACCACATGTATGTATGGTGCCCAGGGAGGCTAGAAGAGTGTTGGATCCCCTGGAACTGGACTTATAGGCAATTGTGAGCTGCCATGTATGTTATAGTATGGAGCGGCGGGCTGTGTCCCGCCACCCGGCTAGCTTTACCCGAAATAATTACACGGAAACTGTATTCTTTTAAACATTGCCTGACCCATTAGTTTTAGTTTCTTATTGGCTAGCTTTTACATATTGATCTAACCCATTTCTATTAATCTGTGTAGCCCACGAGCTGGCTTACCAGGAATGATCTTAACCTGCGTCTGTCTGGAGTGGGAGAATCATGGCGACTCCCTGACTCAGCTTCTTTCTCCCAGCATTCCGTTCTGTTTACTCCGCCTACCTAAGGGTTGGCCTATCAAATGGGTCTAGGCAGTTTCTTTATTAATAAGAAATCACTCCCACATCATTTCCCCTTTTTCTGTTTAAACAAAAAAGAAAGGCTTTAACTTAACATAGTAAAATTACATATAGCAAAACAGTTATCAAGCAAGAATTACAGTTACAATATTTATATCTATTTTATCTTTTATCATAACTAAGGAAAACTATAACTATCTATTCATTCTTCAACTCCATCAAAGACTCCAGAAGGATATAATACTACCTAAGTAAACAAGAAATAAGAAAACTCTAGAAATGACAGAGACATCTTGCTGCCTGGACAGTCACCCAAAGTTCTTTTGTACCTTTGGGGCATCCATCTTCAGCCTTCAGGCCCAAAGTATCCAGCAGACATTTCCATGAAGCAGGAAATTTTAAAGACAGTTTAGTCACTATCTGCTGTGTCCTGCAGAATGTCTCGCAGACTCTTTCATGAGTCATGAACCCCAAAAGACCGTCTCACCTTTAGGCAAGTTCAGCAGTCCTCTCTCTGCGGGTTCTCTGTGTCCATTTTATGCAACAGTCCAGGCAAGAGCAGTTTCTTGCCCAAATGGCTATCAAACTCCATAAGGATCCTCTTCGATGCCCATCTTCCTCTCGAAGTAGATTGGTGCCGCCAGGAGCAGATATGTCTCATTGTCATGAAAAGTCCTAAGTTATTAAAACATTAAATGCCATATTCTGCAGTCTTTGAAAGATATGAAGAATGTCTATCTAACTGAAATGTATCTCTATATATCTAGAAAATCTAACTAACATGACTACAAGCTTTACTATTATCAATGATTAACCATTAACCTATATTTCTTAATTATACATTACATTTTTAAATGAACTACACAATCACAATACCTTAATCAAGATCAGAAATACATATACATATAACAAAATTGACTGTAAAATCCACACCAATGCAAATTACTCATACCTATACCATTTCCCCCTTTAAATGTAAAAGAACATTTACAAACAATATTTTGGGAACATGGGCGCAGTTTTTTCTCTCCAAACTGCTTTCTGCTGAATGGGGGCGTCGTTAATTAGGTCTTTTATGGTATAACCTGTGTGTTAGTTTTATCTCAGTTGGCAGTTGAGCGAAGCAATTTTCTGAAGATGTTTACAACAACCTTTCAGGAGGGCGTGGTCTATCATACCATATCGGGATAGATGTAATCCATAGGGTCTGGTCCTCTGTGAAAACAAAAGAAGACCCTTTCCAAAGCATCATATCCTTAGACCCAAATTCTGAAGTCATACCCTCATGATATCCGTTTTGGTTTCATTTGGCAGCCCATAGAATGAAATGTCTCTCTGTACTTAGCTCCTTCATAGTCAAAAATTTTAAAGAAAACACAATGTACATAATCCAGACTCTCTGTGAATTTTTTATTTTTATGTGGCTTATTTTTTTTTATTTTTTTTAATCTCTTAACTATCTGTATTTTGTCTCTTTAAAGACTTTACCTTTTTTTTTTAAACCATTAACTTTATTTTCTATTTTTTTTTTTTCTCTCTCAAGCCTATGTACATTCATCCAACAGTGTGGTTTTTTATGTCTGAATCTGTTTTATTGTGAATCTGTAATTTTTTTTTTACTATCCAGGAGCATCTCTAAAATGTTAAGCAGTTCTTAAAAACTTAAGTTGCACCATGTACAGGTAATATGGTAATAAGGTACAGCCTGTTTCCTGCCCAGTCTAAACCTTAACTGAGCTGTTTTTATGGTAATTACGGTAGTTCCTGCCTGAGACCAGCACAGTTCATCATGGCGGAGCCGAGCAGCTCCTGTCTCAGAGCCATTTGGTGCCCCTGAGCCATACACAGTTCCAGGCACACAACAGTCCACATTGCCATCAACCAAGCCGTAGCACATTACTCCAAATGCTCCATTCAAAAGCTCTGTCTCCCGCAGGATCCAGACAGAGATCGCATTGGTGGCACAGCCCAGAAAGTCACACTTTAAAATGACGCAGCCTTTTTTTTGCTGTTGTTGCTGATTTAGGAACTGTCTCTACAGCAAGCCACCAACAAACAGCCAAAAGCTGTGTTAAACTCTGTTTTTTTTATGTGATAAAAATTAAGCTCTCTCAGGTTTTACGTGGAGTTCATTAGCACGTTGGGAGCCACTCTGTTGAAGTACGGATCGGCGGGCTGTGTCCCGCCACCCGGCTAGCTTTACCCGAAATAATTACACGGAAACTGTATTCTTTTAAACATTGCCTGACCCATTAGTTTTAGTTTCTTATTGGCTAGCTTTTACATATTGATCTAACCCATTTCTATTAATCTGTGTAGCCCACGAGCTGGCTTACCAGGAATGATCTTAACCTGCGTCTGTCTGGAGTGGGAGAATCATGGCGACTCCCTGACTCAGCTTCTTTCTCCCAGCATTCCGTTCTGTTTACTCCGCCTACCTAAGGGTTGGCCTATCAAATGGGTCTAGGCAGTTTCTTTATTAATAAGAAATCACTCCCACATCACATGTAGGTGCTGGGTAGCAAACCTGGGTCTTCTGGAAGAGTAGCCAGTGCTCTTAATCACTGAGCCATCTCTCTAGCTCCAAGGACTGATATTTTTGTTTGTTTTGTTTTTAGAGACAGGGTTTCTCTGTGTAACAGTCCTGGCTGTCTTGGGACTCACTCTGTAGACCAGGCTGGCCTTGAACCCACTGAGATCTGCCTGTCTGCCTCCCAACTGCTGGGATTAAAGGTGTCCACCACCACTACTCAGCCCCAATCATTTTTTTAACTAAAAATTTGGATAGAATATTTATTTAAAAAAAAGAAATAGTGTTGTTAGTTAAAGTAAAACCCCAAGACAGCGGCAGGTACTTAACATTTACTGTCCCCTCCATGCAAAATGCAGGTCCACAAGCAATGTCTTCTATCTGTATCCAGTTGTCATAAAACTTTAAAGATTTTTACATTTATTTACTTACTACATGTGCGAGAGTGGATGGTTGTGAGTGCTTTTGTAGAGGTCAGAAGACACCTCCAGGAATTGGGTCTCTCCTATCATGTGAGTCCAGGGGATTAGACTCAGGTTGTCAGACTTGAAGACAAGTGTCCTTATCTGCTCGGTCACCTCACCAGCCCTTAGAAAACATGTTCCTGCTAAGTTTCAGACCCAGACACGTCCCACTCTCAACCCTAAACTCTCCAGCCCAGGACTTGGGCTGCCCTTCCTGTATAGGCTCTTCCCTATAGAATCCCACACTGGTGTGCCAGGAAGCTTCCTGTCACCCTTCTGGGCTCCCATCACGTGGAAAGGGACGTCTCTCCTCTGACATGTCTCTCAGTCTGCTTGGGGACACCTTGGATTGAAATTCTTGTTAACAGACACTTATCCCTCTGCTCCCTCATGGCTCCTCAGCTCCTTCCTGGAACTTCCTCACCTCCCCTAGGAGCTGCCTGTGTGTTCCTGGGATGGTGACCCGTTCCTTGTGTGTTCCTGGGATGGTGACCCGTTCCTTGTGTGTTCCTGGGATGGTGACCCGTTCCTTGTGTGTTCCTGGGATGGTGACCCGTTCCTTGTGTGTTCCTGGGATGGTGACCCGTTCCTTGTGTGTTCCTGGGATGGTGACCCGTCCCTTGTGTGTTCCTGGGATGGTGACCCGTCCCTTGTGTGTTCCTGGGATGGTGACCCGTCCCTTGTGTGTTCCTGGGATGGTGACCCGTTCCTTGTGTGTTCCTGGGATGGTGACCCGTTCCTTGTGTGTTCCTGGGATGGTGACCTGTTCCCCGTTCCTTGCCCCTTCGTCCTTTTCTCCTTGGACTCAATTCTCTTCTCCAACTCAGAGATTTTCTTAAAAGTCTTGCAGCTCACACACACACACACAAAAAAAAAAAACCAAAGACTTATTATTAATTGTGAAAGCTCAGCCTATATCTTAGTTCTTATAAATTAGATTAACCCATTTATATTAATCTATGTTTTTTTCCTTTGGCTTTTTATCTCTCTTTTATCTTGTACCTTCTGTTTCTTCTCCCTGTCCTCTGGAGTCTCTTCTGTGCCTTAATGTTGGTCCTCTTCTCCTCTCTCTACCCGGAAGTCCGGTCTAACCTCTTCTTGTCTAGCTATTGCCACTCAGCTCTTTATTAAACCAATCCACAGGCACCCCAGCAAAGACACATCTTTACAGTGTATAAAAATATTATTCTACAACAACCACACAAGCAAATGATCCCAAAGTCTCTTAATCTCTAAGGTTCTATAACTTTCCACTCTTAAATCTTTTATCTTTATGATTTCTCTGGGCTTTGTGCTCAAGAAATCTTTTAAGACTATTGTATAAACAGTCTTTATCTCAGGAACGATTTGTAAATTCATTGGGTGTGATTAAAGAATATGTGAAATCTGTAACAAAATTTGGCTTAAAACTGAAAGCAAAAGGCTTATAGTAACCTATAGGTACAAGTTTTAATTATAAGCCTTTTGTTACAAGTTTAAACCCAAATTTGTTACATAGATTTTTTTTTAAACTATACCCCATGAGCAACTTACACTTGGTTTTCCCACAGAACAGAATAACTGTCAGGCAGGAACAGGCAGCACTATACCTGTCATGGTGGAAAGTCCTGGTAGTAAAAACAAGGCGTGTTTATTTTCCTAACTGTGGTAGTTTGAATGTAATTGGCCCCCATAAACTCGTAGGGAATGGCTCCATTGGGAGGTGTGGCCTTGTTGAAGTAGGTGTGGCTGTAGGACCCAGTCAGGACAAACTCAATAGAGACCTGAGTCTCAGTAGTTTACCCTGAGGTGATACCTGATTCCCATAAAGACCACAAACTGAGACCACCCAGGCACCATCCAGGAATAGACAACCCAAAAGAAAAATTTCTAATATTTGTGTGTGTTTGTTTTCCAAGTCAGAGACAACTTGTGGAGTCAGGAGTTGATTCTCTCTGTCCATCATGTGGGTCCCGTCACTGAATTCAGGTCATCAGGCTTGTGACAGTATCTGTTCACCGAACCATCTCACCAGTAGTGTTGCTTAAGGACACTCTGGAGTTTCTGTTCCGTTGAGATGGGGTGTCACACTGACACCCAACCTGGCCTGGAACTCATATCTACCCTCCTGCTTCAGCCTGCTGGGCACCACATTCCAGGCTGTGTTATTCCACTGTGACTTTTTTTTAACCTAGGTTTTCCATGATGACGATGCCATCCCTGGATGGGAAGGGAAAATTGTGGCCTGGGTGGAAGAAGATCATAGAGAGAATTAACTGGACCTTGGGTCCTCCCTGGCTGCTTCTCTCAGGAAAGAGGGCTAACACCAGAGTACGCCGAGAAGTTTCTAATTCATGCTGCCAAACAGAAGCTTCTTCCAGTATGATGGTCATGGGCCAGTCCTGTTTGTGTGCCTGGCATATCTAGTACTTAAAATCTCTGTCCAAACACAGACCATGGGTTCATCTGGAGCTCCTTGTCCGTGGAAACAGTGTTTTATTCTACTCTGAGGACACCAAACCGAAGGCCTTAACCACCAGGGATGGATGAGCCCTCTCTTGTAGGGGCATGGCTGCTATTATCTGGAACCTGGAAATGTATGCATCTCTCCTTCATGTTATAGTGTTCATTTAATTGGCCTCGATGGTTGCAGCAATCAGAGTCTCAGCATCTGTGCTCACAGACAAGGCAAAGGTACCAACTTTTCTGCCTCTTTGCAGACATTGCAAACCAGAAGTAGCTCATGAAGTGGTACCAAAGATGAAAGACCAGGAAATGGATGATGCTGACTTGTTGATTGGGTTGGGGAAGGGTTGCCCATAGTGTGCTATACTATGCCAAAACCATAATTAAGACCTTGGGCTGCCTCTTCTGGTTTTAACTGATTCTGCAGCTTGTTCTTAGCCCATTCAGGGCATTTTTTTCACGAACTGCTGGTTTTCTCTGGGGACTCTTTAACTTTAGAGCCATTTTATTTTTCTCCAAACAGATGACTTTGTGTTTGAAAAGAATAAGAAGCAAGAGGCTCCTTAAACATCCAGGAGGACACGGAAGGTGCTGCTGTCCATTTCTCTGTGACTCAGACTCATGGCATCTCCTTTGCACTGCAAGGAGACAGACCATTAATTTGTGTTTGTGATTTGAGCACTGAGCACGACTTACTGGTCTGCTTCTCATGTCAAGGCTGGAGTTATTTTCTGTTTCATACTTAGCCTGGGCTGTTCCTTTAGGGCACAGTGGAACCCATGGGGCATGGAGCATGAGTTGTGAATGGCAGGGTCGATTCAAGTGAGCAGTCATTTCTCACTGCGACATTGTCCAGTATAGAAGCTGAAGAGTTCAACTTCCAGAGGTTACTTAATAACTTGGGTTTTCTCATTCATGCACCTAGTACTATCCACCAATCAGTCATGATTATCTATTTATATAGTCCCTCAAGCGGTCTGCAGCCACCACTGTACACTGCCAAACAGAAGAGTGGAACAGATGGGTCAGTCCTGGGATCTGCCTCTCTGTTCATCTCCCATTTTCAGCCATTTGAACAGACTACTCTTTGGAACTCTGAGATAACATCTTATTGTTTTATATAGACATGTCTTTTAAAAATAGTTCATGTTTGAAAATTGCTTTGTACTCATTTGCTTTTGTCTGAGAACCATGTCTATTTTTATAACTCACGTGTGATTTCAGTGTAATCTCCCATTCCCTGTACTCTGTTGATTTTCTAGAGTGCCCAATAGCTTTTCTACAGTCTCTTCTTACCGCCTCTTGTGGTTTCAGAACAAGCTTTATTTTGTTACAAGTACACTAATGGCAGTCGATTTCTCTCCAGTTCTCCCTGCTGTTTTAGTAATGGAGTTTTTTTTTTGTTTGTTTGTTTGTTTGTTTGTTTTTTAGTCTAGTTGATTGCTCTTCTAAAAGACATGAGACCAAAAAGACCTTTCAAAAAGAAAGTCTTTCATGTTCGCTACCCTGGTCTTCTATTGAAGAACAATTTTTCATCAGCTGTAACTAGGAAAGTTTGGGAAAGTCAGCCATAAGCAAGGGACAACTCATTGTGAAAGCCAACAAAGAAAACAGTATTATTTCCATTTTTTCTCAAGATGACTAGAGGGAATAAAAGTTCGTATATCACCAATTTCTCTGTTGCATGAATTTTAATGTTTTGCTATTTGACAGCATGAAGGTGACCAGGCTAAACTTCGGTACTGTAGTCCAATTTACCTGGAATGTCTGTCTCTTAAACCAGATTTCCCTTCTCCATTTTATTTCAACAAACAGTCTTGACATTATGTGGAATTAACTTTTCAGCAAAAATTAAATCAGAGAAAAAGCTTCAAAATCCTCTACATTGTGTTTTATTTTTTATCACTTTTTGAAAAAGGAGCCACATGGCCTTAGTGGCTACATAAAAGCAGAGGTTGGAAATGGGGAGAAAATAGTGCACTAACCTCATCTACCATGGGCAAAATGGCCAAGCATCTCTGCTGGAGGATGTATTCATCAATCCCTGTACATTCCAAACCAGGGATCCTTATTCCAGCCCAAGATGCTGGAGTCTTCAGAGCAGGAGCAAGCATGAATTCATTCTGTTCTCAATAATCTCCGATTTGGCTATACTCCATGACAGTGGTTCTCAACTTGTGGGTCATGACCCCTTTGGACATTAAAGGACTCCAAGGGGTCGTCTAAGATCATCAGAAAAAATGAGTATTTACATTACTGTTCATAACAGCAGCAAAATTACAGTTGCAAATTATCAACAAAAATAAGTTTCTGTTGTTTTTCTCTTTTTACTCTTTGGACTCTTTTGGATTTTTTTTTGGGGGGGGCACCACCCAGCTCCTAAATAGATCACACACAGAGGCTTATTCTTAATTATAAATGCCAGGCCTTAGCTTGGCTTGTTTCTAGCCAGCTTTTCTTAAATTATCCCGTCTACCTTTTGCCTCTGGGCTTTCTCCATTTCTTTACCTCTGTGTATCTTACTCTCACTCCTACTCCATGGCTGGCTGGGTTTCTGGCCCCGCGTAACCGCCACTCCTCCTTTTCTCCCTCCTTCCTTCTCCTCCCAGATTTCTCCTTTTGTTTATTCTCTGTCCACCAGCCCAGCCTATCCTCTCTCCTATATTGCTATTGGCCACTCAGCTCTTTATTAGACCAATCAGGTGTTTAGACAGGCAAAGTAACACAGCTTCACAGAGTTAAACAAATACAACATAAAATAATGCAACACATCTTTGCATCATTAAACAAATCTTCCACAGCATAAACAGATGTAACACATATTAAAATAATATTATGCGACACTTTCCTGGTTGGAGGTCACCAGAATATGAGGAAGGAAGTTATTAAAGGGCTGCTGCATTAGGAAAGGTAAGAACCACTGCTCTAGGAGAAGTTGTAGCTTAAAAATACTGTTCCACACCAATTGGCTGGTCCATCCTGCTATTGCTGACATTCTTTCCATGGGAAAACTACACTAGAATGTTGGGAGTCCTAAAATAATCGCTTAACCATTTTTTTTTAAACATAAACTGGGCATAATGGCTCAAGTCTTTAATCCCAGCACTGGGGAGGCAGAGGCAGGCAGACCTCTGAGTTCTACAGAGTGAGCTCCAGGACAGCCAGGACTACATAGTGAGATCCTGTCTTGAAAACAACAACAAAATGACTCATGTGCAGAAAAGAACCTACACGCACACGCCTGTACCTACACGCACACGCCTGTACCTACATGCAAACGCCTGTACCTACACGTACACGCCTATACCTACACACACACCTGTATCTACACGCACATGCCTGTATCTACACGCACACGCCTGTATACACACACACCTGTATCTACATGCACACGCCTATATACACACACACCTGTATACACACACACCTGTATACACACACACCTGTATCTACATGCACACGCCTATATACACACACACCTGTATACACACACACCTGTATACACACACACCTGTATCTACACGCACACGCCTGTACCTACACGCACACGCCTGTATACGCACACATCTGTATCTACACACACACGCCTGTATACACACACACCTGTATCTACATGCACACATCTGTATCTACACACACACACCTGTATACACACACACCTGTATCTACACGCACACACCTGTACCTACACGCACACACCTGTATCTACACGCACACACCTGTACCTACATGCACACGCCTGTATACACACACATCTGTATCTACACGCACACGCCTGTACCTACACACACACACGCCTGTATACACACACCTGTACCTACACGCACACGCCTGTATACACACACACCTGTACCTATACGCACACGCCTGTATACACACACATGCTTGTACCTACACGCACACATCTGTATCTACACGCACACACCTGTATACACACACACCTGTACCTACATGCACATGCCTGTACCTACACGCACACACCTGTACCTACACGCACACGCCTGTACCTACATGCACACACCTGTATACACACACCTGTACCTACACGCACACACCTGTATACACACACATGCTTGTACCTACACGCACATGCCTGTACCTACACGCACACACCTGTATACACACACACCTGTGCCTACACGCACACACCTTACCTACACGCACACACCTGTACCTACACACACACACCTGTATCTACAAGCACACACCTGTACCTACACGCACACGCCTGTACCTACACGCACACACCTGTATCTACACGCACACACCTGTATCTACAAGCACACACCTGTACCTACATGCATACGCCTGTATACACACACACACCTGTATCTACACACACACATCTGTATCTACACACACACGCCTGTATCTACATGCACACACCTGTATACACACAAATAAAAGTAATAAAAATAAATCTTTAAAAAGACCTCATAAGCACTAATTTAGTTATTTAAAAACTGAAGAGTAGCTTCTTCCTGCTCAAGTCCCTAAATCATCTGCGTTGGAACACTTTACAGTTTGTACCTAAAGGTTCTGCCTTGGTGATAGACACATGCCTGTACTTCCAGCATTTGGGAGGCTGAGGCAGGAGGAGTACCAGGTTGATGCTGGGATACATAATGAGATCTGTGTCTGGATAAAAAGAAAAAGAAAGAGAGAAGGGAGGGAGGGAGGGAGGAAGAATGGAAGTCTGGTGTAGTAATAGGAGCAGCAGGGCTGCGTCCCCAGCACCCCGGCTGCCTGGCTAGCTTATGCCCGAAATAACAACACACAAACTGTATTCATTTAATCACTGCTTGGCCCATTTCTATCTAGCCTCTTCTAGGCTAATTCTCACATATTAATTTAGCCCATTTCTAATCATCTGTGTAGCGCCCCTAGGTGCGCTTACTGGGAAGATTCTAGCCTATGTCCATCCTGGGTCGGAGCTTCATCGTGTGCGTCTGCCTGGGAGCTGGGAGCATGGCATCTCCCTGAGGCGTCTGCTCCCAAGAGGAGAGCTGTGGAGTCTGAGCTCACTTCCTCTTCCTCCCAGCGTTCTGTTCTGTTTACTCCTCCCACCTATCTTCTAACCAATG